TTGAAAGGATTGTGGTTTTGAACTGAATTCTAGCGGAATTATTGGTCTCGCCAGTATGAAGTTCGGCCGGAATTTGTCGCAATTCACGGTTCCCGAATGGAGCACCTCCTACATCAAGTACAAGGCCCTGAAGAAGCTTATCAAGTCTGCCGCTGAGCAGATCAAAGCGGGGCAAGATCCGGATTTGGCTGGTGAGTCTAATGCTTCGTTACCTTGGATTTTTTATTTTGAACCATTGGGCCCCCTTCTGACCAGGCCTTTCTGTTGTCGTTTATAGGTTTCTTCTATAACCTCGACCGTAATGTTGAAGATGTCGATTATTTTTACAACAAGAAATATGCCGAGTTCGCCCGCCGTTTGAAGCTGCTTGAGGAGCGCTATGGTTATTCCATGGAGGGTCGCCATCCTCTCGAACCTGAGGATCGACATGACCTGCGCGAGGCCCTTTTGGATCTGCGGTACCACTTGCGCCGCTTACAATGGTATGGTGAAGTCAATCGACGTGGCTTCGTCAAGATCACCAAGAAGTTGGACAAGAAGGTTGGTGCGCAGGCCCAGAAGCGTTATCTAGAGACAAAGGTCGACCCCACTCCGTTCGCCTCCAATGAACGCGTTTTCCAGTCTCAGGATCGCATCAATGCTTGGATGGCCATCATTACCGACCAGTCCAAGGTGGACGATAAGGTGTCTGATGACGCGAGCTCCACTCATTCTTCCCTTTCGTTGAAGCGTGGCTCAGCTAGGCCTTATCTCAACCTGCCCACCAGCATTGTCACCGCTGTGGATGACGCACTGCGCAAGGATGACACTCATGTCTTGCTCGAATTACTCGAGACCTTGAAGGTTACTGCAGATGAAGCGGGAGAGACGGTTTATCCTAGAGTTCTCAGAACCCTGATTCAGCGCTCTATCCTTCATCGTTCCCGGGCAGTTCTGACTCTTCTCCTGACCCGCGTGGACACCCTAGAAGAGGACGATGATATCAACAAACGTAACTGCCTTCACCGTGTGGTCATCTCCATCGGTCGTGAGCAGCCCACGACTGACTCCGAGCCGGCGGCGTCGATGGTGCTCAACTTCCCTCCGGAGACCACCCGCTATATTACACCCGCGGCGCCTCCGACCCTCCAACCGCCGCGTCCTGTGGTCAAAGAGGAGCACATGCCGCAGCAGCTGGCTCGCGACGATTCCGCTGTTACTCACTTCCAGTTCCTACTGGACTCGCTGCGCCCTGACCAGCGTGAGTCTTTGATGGCCAAAGACCTTTCTGGACGCACCCCATTGCACTACGCGGCCCAATATGGTTTCAAGGTCGTGTGTGAAGTGATCATTGAGCATCTCATAGAATGGGGCATGTTCGATGTCAGCGATGGAATCGACGGTCCTCTCTGGCAGGACAATGACGGCTGGGCTCCACTCCATTTGAGTGTTGTAGGTGGCCACCCAAAAACCACCCGGTTTCTCTTGGATGCCGAAAGGGAGAATGATCCCTCGCCGGAACGAAGTGCCATAAGAAAACAGGTTCCCAAGTCCAGTGCAGTATTGGCACTAGCGACCAAGGCCAACTTCATTGATATTGTGCAGCTTTTGGTGGATGCCGGCGTGGATATCAATTACCAGGATGAACAGGGTGAGACTGCCTTGCATGTTGCCGCCCGATTTTGCCATGACGAGTGTGCACAAATTCTGCTGGATGGCAGCGAAGACCAGAAGGCAGACACGGAATTGGCCGAGAACACATATGGCTGGACACCGCTCTTCATTGCCTGTGTGGACGGATGCCTGAGTGTGGCTAAAATGCTAGTTTCTGCCGGTGCAGACGTGGAGCGTTTCGATTCCTCTGGCTGGACAGCTAAGGAGCACGCGGCCCTCCGAGGCCATCTTGACATTGCTCGGTGCTTGGCAGAAGTTAGCCCCGGCCCTCCTGCCACTGAGCTCGATTTTTCATCGTCCACTCCAAACCTCCCTGGTTCCGAGTCCTCCTCGCCTCCGACTCAATCGTCCCTCACTGATCGCCGGTCAAATGCTCCAGGCCCAACTTCTGGGGGTTCTAGCGCACGGCCTACTGAACCCATTAAGACTTTTGGACACAGGTATCTCACCGATGAGAGCATGATCTTGGTCAGTCTTGGAACTATGGACATGCGCAAACCGCTTGAGACAGTCAGCCTTGACCGCATTCCCATGGAGAATGCACACGCCACCCAGCTAGACACATCTCTGTCGATGGTGATAACAGCTAGCGGTGCACACGGTGAGCCGGAGGTGATTGACTTGCCTGTGCAGGACAATATCTCCACTGAGCCAATTGTCTTCCACACTACCGATCCTAGCAAAGTGCGCCTACTTTTCGACCTTGTCCCCACCTACGCAGGTTCGAAGGAGAAGATCGTTGGCCGGGGTGTCGCTCTGCTTTCTAGCATCAAGCCCACTGTGGGATCGCACAGAATCAACCTCAAGGGTGATTCAACTGTTCCCATCGTTGCCGCGAATACCCTTGAGGTGATCGGGTCTGTGACATTCAACTTCCTCGTCATCACCCCCTTCCAGCACCCGAAAATGTCTATCGCTGGCAACCAGACCTACTGGCGCTCGATGAGCTCAACCATGGTCATTGGACATCGTGGGTTGGGTAAGAACATGGCCAGCCGCAATTCATTGCAGTTGGGCGAGAATACTGTGGAGTCCTTCATTGCCGCGGCCAACCTGGGTGCCTCATATGTTGAGTTCGATGTACAGCTCACGAAAGACCATGTGCCTGTCATCTACCACGACTTCCTAGTTAGCGAGACTGGTATCGATGCGCCTGTTCATACCATGACACTTGATCAATTCCTTGAGTTGGGCATCGGACGTTACCGTCATGCCTTGCCCGGATCTGTGAAAGCTGGCGAGGCATCTGGGGATGGTCCACGCCAGCGCTCAATGTCTGTGGGCGGCTCCGAGTACGACCCCGCCGAATTGACCGAGAAGATCAAACACACACGCGACTTCAAGAAGAAAGGATTCAAAGGTAACACCCGCGGCGAGCATATCCAGGCACCATTTGCCACGTTGGAGGAATTGTTTACAAAAATCCCGAAACCTGTTGGGTTTAACATCGAACTGAGTGAGTTACTAGCGCTTCCCAAAGAACAGCTATTCCGTCGATCTAACCAAGGTCGCTAGAATACCCCATGCTCCACGAGAGCGAGGAGGAAGAAATGGACACATACGCCATAGAACTAAACTCCTTCGTTGACACTATCCTAACGACGGTCTACGATCTGGGAGGCGGCCGCGACATGTTGTTCTCCAGCTTCAACCCAGATATCTGTCTGCTGTTGTCTTTCAAGCAGCCTTCCATCCCCGTTCTCTTCCTGAGCGACGCGGGTGCTTCTCCGGTCGGTGACATTCGTGCTAGCAGCTTGCAGGAGGCCATTCGGTTCGCCTCCCGGTGGAATCTCCTTGGAATTGTTACCCAGGCTGAACCACTAGTTCTCTGCCCCCGGCTGGTCCGTATTGTTAAGGAGTCGGGTCTTGTGTGTGTCTCCTATGGAACGCTCAACAATGACGGTAACAACGTCGACGTAAGTAGTTCTTTCTTCATTCCCTTTTCACATTCCCGGAAACCCCAACCAGCCATCTAACCGTGTTATTTGTATAGTACCAAGTCGCCGAAGGCATCGATGCCGTGATTGTCGACTCCGTGCTCGGCATCACCAACGGCCTCATTCAGCGCCAGGGCAAGAGCGACCGTACACCGGGCCCATCGCCCAATCCTTCGGCAGTCAGTGACCAGGCAGCTGACTCTGCCAAGGGCACTGTCACAGTCCCAATTCTTGAGCGGACGAACCAAAATAACCTCTCACCGGATATGATTCCTCCTGCTCTTTAAGAATTGCATTGTCTTGTATCATTGCATTCTCTCCTGGGAATTGTGATTTATCGTCATACGATGTCAATTGTTTGCATTCGGCTTTTACCAGCTTCAACAGCTATCAATACCAGTTTATTTTTGACTGTTTCTACTTGTGTCGATGGTATTCTGTGGTTTGCGTAGGATTCTGATTTTCTTTCTATTGGCGAGAAATATATAAGCATAGTATTCCAAGATTGCCTCTTACGCCTCTAATAGGTCTGTAGCCTCCTATTTGGAATTTGGCCAATGCACTTTCCCCAACTGGCGAGTCAAAGAAGAAATACTTGTATTCCTATTAACCTTTCAAACCTTCAAGTTCGTAGTTATGATATATATACATTTATAAAGATCTAAGATATTCTTTAATTAGATAAAATATACTACACCGGACTCAAAGCTATCCCCTCAACGAACGAGTGCAACTAGCTGTATCGCTGGCTCGATCTGTGGTCTTTCTCCATGCTTCTCGAATTGTGCACAACAATATATCCCCGGAGAATATCATCATACTTCACCCGGGTGTGGGCGTGCTTTGGACTCCGTTACAGGTGGGGTTTGAACGGTTCCCTTTTGATGAGCAACGGACAAATATGTTCAGTGATGATCTCTGGGAAAAGAATCTATATCGCTATCCCGTACGACAGAGTCCTCAACCAGAAGGGGTCTATAACATGCGGCATGATATCTACAGCACTGGGGTATGTTTGCTAGAGATCGGACTGTGGAGTTCATTTGTGAATTTATACGGATACTGTCATTAAGTGTTTGACCTGCCTTGACTCCGATAGTCTGCTTTTCCAGGACGAAAATGAATCCGAGGATGAGGATGGGATTTCAGTTGGCGCACCATATATTGAGAAGGTAAGTCCGTCATTGAAGATGGAAAGATTAACAATCACTAATTGTGGGGTGTAGATCTTGTTTGAAAGTTTGTAATAGTGAAGATTGTAGTTTAAATATGAACGAACATGATAGCGGCTTAACGAAAAAGACGCAACATTGTGAGAGCAATAGGGTATAGTGGCAGCCCAGGTATACAACAAAGAAAGCAAATCAACCAAAGATCATGTTGGTTTGGCCAATATCGCAGTCTTCGAGGTCAGGTGCGAGCAGCAAAGGCTATGATACTGTAAGCGCAGGAAGAGAAATGACCCATATATGGCTTACCATTGATAAGGGATCTCCGAAATGACCTTTTTGATGATCCTTCAGAAGAGGCCTGTACAGACTCGGTCTCATTTGTTGAGACCGACTCAGTTCGTGTATTCTTGGGGCGTGTTTTGAACCCCTTTTCGGAATTGCGAATAGGAGGGGGAGGAATGGCAAGATGCATTATGTATTCTTCGTCTGGATAATCAAGTGAAGACCTTTTGTGTTGAATTCTTGTCGGGTTAACAAGATAGATTTATATAGATTGTGAGGGGTGGTTTATGCTTATCTTAAGTGAGGAAACAGCCAGCGAGCCAGGTGCTTATCAGCCAATAATAGTGTTTCTGTAAAGATATCATCTTATCCTAAATCTTTAACTCTATGAATGTTGCTTCCAGGGTCAAGTTCATGTATACGTAAGAGTATAACGAAACCTAGAAAGGGTATGTAGTGTGTCGGGATATGTTTGAACAAAGTATGGCTTCCCATAAATAAGATACACCATTGCTTGAATCTATTAGAAAAGCAAAATATATTCAATATAGATAAATCGATCTATGGCTTTACTTGGCCTTCAGTTGCTCGTCTAACCACTCTTGTGTGATACTCTCAAAAGTGCGGAATTCAACCGTATCCCCCCATCCCCGAAGCCACCCCACAAACCGATCAACCATCCCTATCACATGGGTCATCCCACTTGTATCGGGGTGCATCAAGATGGGGAAGACAAAACTTCCATCCCCTCCATCAATATGGGCATTTTCCCACAGCCACAAGAACATGTCCTTCCATCTCTGCTCAACCACCCGAGCATCAACATGCCCGTGGCTGTTATCGAGATGTGGGAAGTATTGCAAGGCCATCATATCTTCATTATTCCAACCAGTAGGAATTTCCACAAGTGGATGGCCGGCGGGGTGGGCATCTGCTGCAGCAAGCGACGTGGGGCGCAACCAAGTGCTAGCCGGCTGGGAGAAATCCACTCGCTCGATTGGCGGATCGCTGGGTGTGAAATATGGCTGAGAGTCATGGTGGCTTAGAGAGGAGTCGTATAGGAATTCAAACTCTCTCAGAAGCTCGATTGTTGTCTCGCGGAGCTGGTACATGGGCGCGCGATAGCCTCGGACTCTTTTGCTAGTTAGCCGCTGCGACACTTCCATGCACTTCACTAGCACGTCGCGCTCTTGGGTCGGTGTCATTTGGTAGGCACCTTCGTGGGAATACCCATGAAGTCCGATCTCGGCGCCGGACTTGATAATCTCCCTAACGGTTGATTCGAAGGTTTCCATTGTGTGCCCGGGGATGAACCAAGTGACTTTGTCGGCTACTTGGTGTTTTTGTAACATGCGTAATATCCGGTTGGCACCAACTCGGCCGGCGAATATGCCTGTGCTGTAATCTGCTAAGTTGTTGTCTGGATGATCGCCTGTCCCCAAGAAGGCAGAGACGACGTCAAAGTCAAATGACATAGCAATTTTGACCTTGGGTGCTTGGGGCTGAGCGAGAGACTTTGGCAAATCTGGGTATTCTGAGCAACGGAGTTTTCATTTCTGTTCTTCTCGGTGCTTTTTACACTCGCGATGTCGCCGAGTGAAATGATGCCGCGGGTGGGTTTCAACGAAACAAGTATCGCTGTTGCCGCGACGATTGATTGAGTAGAGGCCTCGCGTGAGGTGCTAAGATCAAGAAAGTTGACGGAAGCATTTGGGTGAAGCCGTGAGACATCCCTTTGGAGCTTAGAAATAATAGGATCGAGCGAAACACCGAAGAGATCCTGATAACCGAGGACCCCAACAGAGAAACCGCTCCCTGATTGATTCTCATGGGACTTCGCCTTGTTGACCTGGAATTGATGCTGGAGAAATAACTTTGCGTGCACCAGCATTTTTTTCTGACAGCTCATTGGCGTGTGTCCTTGATCCCATTCACTCAACGGAATCTCCCAATTTGTGTCTTGCCCACAGGGCTCCTGAGTTCTAGCGTCGATAATAAAAACATCGACTTGATCACCGAGGGCCCCAAAAGCGGTATTTATCTGAGCCTGAGCTTTAGTCAAATTGCCCGATATCAGAGGATCTAGGTTGAGCGCGATAGTCTTGTTCCTGGAACCTTGACAGTTGTTAGGTTATATCTTTTTGTCCATCTAGAAGCCCACCTTACCTGAGCAACAAGCGCGGAAGGCCTCTGCAAATTGTGCAGAGACCCCTGTAATTATGACAGACTGGTTGCTAAGACAGGATGTCATGTTTGTAGAAGGTTCGTGGAATTTGAGAATGTCGCGTCTCATATTCTTCAAGATTGAACCCAAGGGTAAGCGGGATAGCTATGGCTTTATATTTGTGTATAACTTGGGGTATATGAACTTGATTGGGGCTGTCATAATAGGTTAGTTTTGCGGGGAAATATCAAAGGCCCGCGAGCATATTCAGGTGCGGTAACAGCCAGCGAGTAGAAGATCCGCTACTTCCGAGACTCTATGTCCAGACCACTCAACACGGGGGTTGCGATCAGGATAGGTGATTTGTCTCTATATCAGCTTGTTGCCACCAACATGATTGCACTCAGTAAGACTGTGAAATCCCCTATGGACTTCTGCTCGTGTCTTACCAATATAACCACTCGCCACATGGCAGGAGCGAGCGAAGACATATAGACTTCTTGTAGGTAGATGTGATATGCAATAAGGTATAACTAAATTGGCCAAAAGATAAAAGTGTGCCTAAGCCAATACTGTCGTCGAGCTTAATCGCATCCTGATTTTCTAGTAAGAGCCAGCGACCTGTTCTCACATATCGTGTATCTTGAAGAGACAAGGTTGCTCTTGCAATAGATCAAGGGAATCGTAAAGATAAACGAAAACCATAAATATGTCAAGATATTTCCGTCGAAAGATGTGAGTCATACACGTTTTGATTGCATTGCAATTCAGATCTACTGCCATAGCACAGTTTGAAATCAAAGAAGATGCTAGTGATCTCGAGTCTTCCATCCAAGGCTCGATGAAGGAGGGTACCGAGACTGCCATCACACCTGTACTCGCAAAGAGCTTTAATCTCTTCAGTGCTTGCGCTACTGGAGTCACTACAGGAAATGCTTGGGTAGTTCTGGGAGGCGGGATTGTAAGGACGAGATTCCTTGTCTAGGTTGTGCACTGCACTCCTAACGCATCTTAGATTGCCTCTCTATACAACGGTGGACCACCTGGTATAGTATACGAGTTGTAGGTCCCCACAGTTTACGGAGCTTTCTCGGAATTTGGTGCTAACTGCTAGAATAGCGCCAGTGCCTCCTTTTTCTATTGCTTCATTGCTGCATCGATTGCTGAGCTTGCTTCTGCCATTCCAGCATCTGGAGGTGTCTACCACTGGGCTACTATAGCCACCGGTCCTCGTTATGGCATATTGTGTGGCTGGTTCGCAGGGTGGCTGAATGGCCTTGCGTGGGCATTCGCCGTAGCAGGGAACTGTTCCATGACTGGAAGCATGATTGTCTATTCATACGCACTGTACCAACCAGACTTCACACCGCAGCGCTGGCATGTGTTTGTTTGCTATTTGATCATCTCCTGGCTGTGTTGTTTTACTGTGATGTTCTGCCAACGGGCTCTCCCGCTCATCAGCAGAATCGGATCTTTCTTCATCGTTGTTGGTTTTGTTATCACAGTCTTGGTATGTGCTATTATGCCGAGCAGGAATGGTGCAGGATATGCGTCAAATGACTTCGTGTGGAAAGACTGGAGCAACGTGACTGGTTACCCAGACGGATTCACATTCCTTGCAGGCATGTTGAACGGGGCATTCGCAATCGGTGCTATTGACTGTGTCACCCATATCGCAGAAGAGATTCCTGAGTATGTAATATGGCTCCTTCCCAGACGCTTCTTTTACTGATACTTCAACTAGTGCGAGACGGAATATTCCACGAGCACTTGCTTGCCAGGTGACCATCGGCTTTGCGACTGGCTTTTGTTATTTAGTCTCGATGTTCTATGCTGTCACCAACCTGCCGCTTATTGTGAACGCCGATTCTATCTCTCCGCTGGGTGATATATATTTGCAAGCAACTGGCTCTCGAGCAGGTGCAGTGGGGCTACTTACACTCACAATCGCCCCCATTTTCTGTGCAACAATAGGATGCTATATTACCACAGGAAGGACATTCTATGTCCTGGGTCGCGACGACGCAACGCCATTTTCCAAATACATCGGGGCCATCAGTCCGACATGGCATAGCCCATTATATGCAACTTTGGCATGTGGAGTGTTTTTGACATGCGTCGGAGCAATCTATGTGGGATCCTATACTGCCTTCGAGGCTTTTATCGGCTCGTTTGTGCTGCTGACGACGGCCTCTTACTTCCTCGCTATATTCCCACATTTGATGACTGGGCGCAAGTACATCCGCCCTGGTCCATTTTGGATGGGGAAGGTTGGCCCTGTTGTCAATGCTGTCGCATGCATGTACATTGCTGTCTCCTTTGTGATTTACTGCTTTCCCTATACCTTGCCGACATCCCCAGAAGACATGAATTACACCAGTGTGATCACATGTGGATTGACCTTGTTAGTAGCGCTGTGGTGGGTATTGCACGGAAGATGGACTTGCACGGAGATAGAATGGAACATTGAACCCTGATGTTTATCACTGGTTGGAAATAATATCCTGAAATAATAATAATTCATCCATATCTCCAGGCTAAACACACATCCCTTGTACCTAGTGCCCAAGTCATATCTCGCTGGCTCCTTCCCTTTCCAAATAGCCGAGCAGACCCCACTTACGAGGGTAAGATAAGATATGTATCGATAAGGCGTTGATAAGACGTCCCAAGGCCATCCCCAAATGTGTTGTATCATGAAATCAAAACATTTAGACCCCCCGCCTTCGGTGTGAGAGCCGATATCTCTGCACCATGATCCCCATCCCCTCGGCCCCTCGGCTATCCCTTGTAACTATTGGCCCTGACTGGCCCCGCACGTATCTCAAGTTAGCTCCACCATTGAGAAGTGCCGTTGAGCTTGACAAGGGTCTCGACCTCTTGCCTTGGCGTTACTCCAACTGCACACTAAGTGACGCTGTTCTGTCGATAGTCCCCCTCGCGACCATCGACGGCCCACTGTCATGGCTCATATTGAGAAACAGCCCTGTATCAAGGATACCATGGCTGGCCCGGTGAAAGCTCCTAGGAAACAAACCAAGCGTCTTCGCCAGACAAAGCAGAAGTCGGTCACATTCACAGGGTAATTAATACATCAGGTATATTCAACTGTACATATACTCTTGAAGCTGACAAGAACAGGTGCTGGACTTGCAGGTCTCGGAAGGTCAAATGTGACGAGCGTCAACGAAATGGATGTGGAGTCTGCCAGAAATCTGGCCTGGAATGCGCCGGCTACGGTGTAAATCTGTGCTGGATGACAGATAAGAAGCGAGATATTCAAGGCCTACGACGCAGGCAGATCAGACTAGGTGAGACTTGGCCCTCTTTCACAGCCCTATTCACTAAATACTAATTCTTAATTAGAACAATCCACCTCTCCTAGCATTTCGGATGACGAGATCAACCGAATTCTATCTTCCCTTGACACAATTTTAACACCATCGCGCACCGTCTGTATAGGACCTTTTGCAATATTCTCCAAATCAGAAGATGGCGATAATGAAGACCTTGAACTCCATGCTTCATTGGAGAATAGCCATCAGACACAGGGCTGTGATTCTGAGATCACTCCTAGTCAATGCGACCCAGTCGACCTGTCCAGTGGAACTTTTGAACTCATTCGGAATGATAATGACGTTCCTCATACAGAAACCTTCGAAATGGATTTCTCCTCAAACTGGGAGTCAGTGATAGCTATGATGCATACACCAAATTTTCCACCATTATCATGCTCAAGAGAAAGGCCGCTCACGATATATCCATCACCACATAGCGAACTTCCAATGCCTCTGTTCAAAGACCGCAAAACATCCGCGCTCATGTATCACTACAAAAACCATGTCGCTGAGCTCCTACAACCAGTCTTCCACCCGAGGAACCCTTGGCGCACAACATATCTCCCATTCGCTCTCGAGGGCTGCCCTGATTTATGTCTTGTCCAAAATTCGATGCCTTCCTCAGGCGTCTCAATGTCACTATTCCACAGTATATTATCATCGGCTGCATTCCACCTCCGGAATGTCATGGGTGGATCAAGAGAATACCACAACCTGGGTCTCCAGCACCGGGCTAAAGCTCTGCGGGCACTCAAGTTTGCACTCGTAGCGCCCAATAACTCCCACCAATATATCGTCTATCTCACAGCGATGCTCTCACTAGTCACGATCGATGTAGGTTGCTTTCACTCCATATTATGGAATAATATTGAATCTAACAAATTAGACTATGACGGGAGAAGATTCAGATTTTCCAATTCATCTGAAGGGTTGTCGCCAACTGCAAAGACCCGACCATGCCTCCTATGCGCTCAATGACTCCAGCCGGCAGGTCAGCAGTATTTGCCATTTTCTAAGTCTCTTGGCTCGAACAACGGCACACGAGCTAGAACCTAGACCCTGGGCAACAGAAGGTCCATTCTTTGAGGAGCCTTACTTCCACGCCGATGACACCAACATCCAATACATGTATGGGATCACCCCATATCTGGGAAATCTGTTACAAAAGACCTGTCAGGTGGCCGAGTATCTAGCTTTCCACCAGGATGGTGAAATACCAGCAGTTCTCCTTGAGGCATGCTCGGCATTATACGATGAAATCTTTTCGTGGGACATAGAGTCCGAGTCTTTCCATCTCATTACATTGGAGGAGCCGACTATGCTTGAGATAATACGTTGTCAAGCCCTAGCATTCCATAGCGCGATCGCAATCTTTTATTACCGAGCAATCGAAAACTCCAGTCCAGTGGACCTCCAAGAGCGAGTAAGAGCAATTTGGAAGTACCTCTCGCTAGCCGAAGACCTCAAAGACGCATACTCATATAGCAACAAACGCGCAGCTCCTATGTCCTGGCCAGCATTTATCGCTGCATGCGAGGCAACCGATCGACAGCCTTGGGTTACATGGTGGGAGCGAGTCCAGGGGTACTCGATGGGAAATTTCAAAAGACAGTGGAAGGTTATACAAGAAATTTGGAGTATCATGAATTCAGACGAGAATGTGGTTAACTGGAGGGATGCCCTCAAACAATCAGGCAAGTTGGTCTTGCCTATCTGAAAGTCTCATATAGCGTGATTCAGATATAGTTGAAATCTCAAAGTTTGGAACAAGACTTAAGACTCTTCTCACAACTCATCCTTTGCAGGCGGGGCCTTGGCCTTAGGACCTGTCTTCAACTTGGCCATGGATGCCAGAATATCAACGATCAAATCCGCAGCGGCGATTGAAGTAGTCTCAGCAACGGTATCATAAGGAGGGCTGACTTCCACCACATCGGCACCAACAAGGTTGACACCCTCGAGGCCTTTAATGAAGCGTTTCAACTCACGAGTGGTCCAGCCGCCCGATTCGGGAGTTCCGGTCGCAGGGGCAATGCTGGGATCGAGGACTGATTGAAGAAATTAGCCTCTGATGTGTCTTTAGCAGGGCAAAGGTCAAATCTTACCGTCAATATCAATGGAAAGATAAGTCGGAGTATCTCCGACAACCCTCCGAACTTTATCAATGATTCCCGACATGCCGATATCGTCAATCTCGTGGGCCTCGATAATCGTAAATCCAACATTCTGGTCGATCTCATAATCCTTAGGACTCTGTTGATTATCTTTGATTAGTATTAATTCCCGATCATAGACAAAGCACCACTCACGAAAAGCTTCGTCCTCAGACCTCCATGCACACTTGTGCCCTTGGCAATACAACCCTCCCGACTGGCATGCCAGAAGAAAGTTCCATGTGTGATCGCCGACTGGTTAGACGCGATTCCAGTGTAACCCTCATAGGGATCCCAAGTGTCGAGGTGCGAGTCTAAGTGAATAACAGAGATCGGCCCGTACACATGTTTCAACGAGCGCAAGATCGGCAAGACAATCGAGTGGTCTCCGCCCAGACTCACAATCCGAGGATGTTCCCATGAGCTCCCCTCGGACGTCGGGTGGTAGAGAACCTGTCTGTAGCCCTGCTCCATTTGCTTGAAAGCGTGCGCGGCGTCGAATGGGGTGATAGGGATATCTCCACAGTCAATCTTGTAAGGTATTAGCGACCCTGACATTGCTTTTCATAATTGTAATTGCGCTGCACTCACAATTTCAAGACCCTCATCATATGGGTCCACCTCCCACACGGTGTTATAGCTGCGACCCTTCTTTTCACGTGCCGATCCTGCGCGGATGCCTCGAGGCCCGAATCTTGCGCCGGGGCGGTATGAGGTTGAGGTGTCGTAGGGGAAGCCGAGAATGGCGATGTCGAGAGGCTTTTCCGAAGGTTAGATCTCTATGGAGGGATTGGGCAAAGATATCCTTCGGTTGCAACATACCTTATTGTGAGATGCTGCGAGACATCTTTGCCATTCCAAGTGGGCAAATGTGACGGGCTGAGAAAATGGGAGATCGACGTCAAGATCTATTGTCTGTTAAGGATGTTGATGTTAGGTTTGTATTGCGTGACTGACCTTCTATCGGGTGACTATATTCAGGGCCAACATTCAAAGCAATGGCGCCCTGCAGGAGAAGAGACAATGTGGAAGTTGTGAAGCGCATTTTGAAGATTATTCGAAAAGTTGTACATCTCGAGTGAAATTGGGGTGGCTGTTGGTGTTTTATAGCCTTAACTCTACACAGAATCAGCCATTCATTATCAAATCAAATACATCTGCAAGTGCTACGAATGCGATTAATGAGCAATGCTGTCTCGCAGACTCTTTCCACAACTATTCATGCGGGGACTGTTGCTTGACGCTAAGATAGCCAAGATAGTGACCGCGGGGCGGGTTATCGGGGGTGTCCTTCTATACTTTTATTTTACTGCGTACGAATAAATGTATTATTTAGTTGATCTTATACTTCCTCAGTGAACTTGTGTATTCAATCAATTCTAAGCGCGAATCTTTCGACCCTGTATATGCGGGCCGTTTGGAGATTATTAGGAATAGCAAAGCAACAAATTAACTGAGATTAGAACCTAGTATTTGAAATTCAATTGATAAAGTATAGGGCTAATGTATCATCCAATCTGTGAAACCCCCAAAATGCAATTCAAACTAAGCACATCGCATAACAACCACACTTGGATTGCTCAATGTGGTGTGAACGCAATCTGACACTCGTGTTCCTATCTCCATAATTAGCAACTCCTTGAGGAAAACATATTAACCGAACATACCCGCATTCGACTACAAGTGTCATCATAGAATACCTCATAGCGACCTGTGATACCAGGAGAGACGGTGCCAAAATCTCCCATTGGTGTTGTTCTGTATTTTCGATAAATGGCTGCGACCAAAGTAGTCATTTCTGCCATTGCCAGACTGTTCCCTGTTAGCCATCTGTCATAGTCAAAGCCGGAAGTCGTCTCTATGGAGAAGGAACGTACTGCATGCCAATACACATCCTTCCTCCACTGGAAAATGCCCAGAACCATTTCTTCATATCGGCCAAGTTTTCAGAAGGTTCCAACCAGCGACCAGGGTCGAATTTCGTGG